GCTACAAAATCAAGAACTCCATGAATACGTAAATGTACGTGGGCTGATCATTTAATCCCGGGGAATAGCCCGCGGAACATGGTCCTTGTTACGGGATGAATTTTCGAGGAAAAAGAACCATCACAGCTATTTTCCATAGTATGCAAATGACAACCGTTAAAAAAATAAAAAAATAGGAAGGAAGGAAGAGAGAGAGAGAGAGAGAGAGAGAGAGAGAGAGAGAGAGAGAGAGAGGGAGAGAAAAGGGGAGAGGCCGAACTGTTTCGCGCGTCGCAGATTTACGAATAGGACAACGTTTCGTTATTCGTTACCGCGTTAAACGAAATTGGAGACAGAGTGGAAAGACAGCGAACGAAGCTGATGAGACGAGTGAACATCGAAAGAACCCGAATCCGTATTTGCATCGTTCGCTTTGCGAATTCGAAGCAGCGGTTTGTAGTCTTCAAGATCGAGTTTCGCGAGTTTATCTTTGACGAAGCGTTTACGAAGAATCTCTTCGGGTCACTCTCCGAATCAACAACGTCATCGGAGAAATACTTGGTGATGTTCTCACAAGTCAGAGATCTCAAAGACTTGGGAGTGAAAACATGATTCCAAGAGGCGAATACCTGAATGTTCAGCTTTTGAACGCACGTCTGGCTCTAGTTTCAGCCAAGTATAATTATAATCATAATCCTGTTTGGTAATTAAGCTTATTAGGAAGGTCTCCCCCATCCTAGCCCACTGTACACGGTAACGCAAAGTCGATTTACACGATGGACATACGAGCGGATTTGTGTGAAACTTCGCGAGCACCGCACAAATTCAGTTCTCTACGCTGCTAGGCGTGATTCTTACCAATTAATTCACAGCTATTGACTTATCGACTATTATTATTTTTATCATTCGTGGGATCCGTGTATGGTAGCCCTTTGTATGTAGCGCGACCTATGTGACTTGTTTTGCTCCCCCGAGTTTCACAGATACCTTATAACAGTTGTAGCTTCTGAAAGAAACGGATGAGCTGTTGCGTGAGTATTCTATATTTTCTTTCTTGATGTTCTTTGCTTCTCAAAAGGCTGAATTCAACGAGTCTCGTGTGCCTAGCAGTAACACGGAAAATGAAGAGGTGTCTCTTCATCATCCAAACATCCCCTGCAAATATCTCGTCTGCAAGTGTCCCAACGTAAACAACAGCAACGTAGGCTCAATGTATACAGGTGTTTATTCAGAGCATAGTGTCCTGTGATTATACTCGTCAGTATTCTGATCTGTCTCCTTCTATGTGAAATAATCTCTCTAACCCTTTCCCCGTAGTGGAGGGCAAGAAAAGTCTCGAACGAGACATTTCTTCTGTTCCCTTTCAATATCTGTGTTTTTTTTTATTCAGCATTTTACTATTAATATATTTTTGACTATACAATCTCATATAGGCTTTAGACCTAACATTGTAGACTAAATTCCTGCCTTAGCTAGGAGATGTGCTCTGCAGTTTCTCGGTATCCAGGAATCGATACCAAACTAACCTGGTTGTTGGCTACTAAGACCGAAACTTATTGAATAATTACCGTGGCAATTTGCAAAGATCAAAATTGCATCACTCGAAATAATTCCTAACGTAAGATGATTACATATCGCATAAATTATGCATATCAGATAATACAAGATACAGGATCATTCATAAAATATCTCGGCAGATTTTATTATTGATCAGGAATTAGATTGAGTAGAGAAAATTGAATAAAATTAATGGGCAAATAGATTTGATAGAATTAAAAGAGTTCCGTTGATATTGAAAAGATTTTGAAAAAGATGCAATAAAAGCTTAGAGAAAGAGAAAGGGAGAAGACGATGTGCGATATAAAGTACAAAATAATCTTGTCTCTACCAAAATAGATCGAGGTAAATAATGTCTATGCGTTTCGGTTCTCACTCGGATCCTTTCCGATCGTTTTTCTCAATGAGAGATACACACACGCGCATATACATATAAGCGAATTTCGGACAAAAAGGCGCAGTTCGTGTCTCTAACGGTTCTACTGCTTATTCTTTCAAATGCTGCCAGAGCGGGACTCGACAGGTAAAACTACCCTTTGGTGGCGCGGAATCGCGCGGATAATCGTTCTAATGCCGGGTCGCTTGACAATGGAATTCCCCTAATTACAATCCGATTAGATGCCATTCTTCGGTGCGGCTAAAACCACAGGGTAGTGTAAAAATCTGCAGTAGCATTAGCTACTGTGCGTTATCTTGCTTTTGTGATCAGCCGTCTTAGAAATCCCTCGTCCGGACGTGGGGTAACGTCTCTTGTCTGGCCTGGTCCACCGTTCGTCCTCATTGTCTCGCGTTCGTATACTACCGCTCGTCCGAAACATGCCTGGTTGATATAGCAGATTACGAAGTCTCGGTTGCATTTTACACGGTATTAAATATTTATACACTTCCTCGTTTGCGTATCATCCAGCACATAGAGACATATTCGCGCGCGTATTTTTGTGATCTTGACAATTTTATTAGGCGTGTCGCGCGACAGCATCTTGATAAAACTACTTTTCGTCACAACAACCGAGATCGGTACTATATTTGCATGATAAAGCTCGGGTTATGAGGCGAACGTCGACGAGATCGAACACTCACGGATTGCGACAAACATTCTGTACGATCAAATCAATTCAGAAATTGGCATGTCTTCGTATATCGACGAATCTCGATTTTGTGAAAGAACGAGGGCGTACTAGGTGGCGGCGGGACGCCGTGCGTTCGGAACCTGCATCTTATTTCGTTCCGAAGAGAGAAAAATATCGGGATCGTTGCATCTTGAAGGAGACACAAATTTCTTCAGGAAATCATCAATTCTGTGTGTCCACCATTGTTCTTCTGGACTACTCTCGATCAAATGTCGTGGATTACAAAATAAAATTGCTCAACGGTGAGACGTCTATGACACTTTTCCCGCGGAACGGACGACTCAAAATTGTTGGAAAGGTCCGTGAGTCGCAAAGGAGTAAAATATTAGGTTGTGTAATAAATAATTTCGAGTTTCTCGAAATGGGATGATTATATTTTTATGTCGTTATAATTTTATGAAACAATATATTTGAAGGATGGTAGTAGATTATAGGTCAAAATTGGGTATACATAGGCTTTATAAAATTATAATGATATAAAAATATTATAATTTTATTTTATTTGAAAAATCCGAAGTTACTCATTCAGCAAAAGATGCTTGGTGCAATATTTTCAACCTACTCTGGCATTGAGACTATTCGAAAACGCGTTGCAAATTATGAGCGCAAAGTTGCTCGCGGAGAACGCGCGTGACTGAAGTCACTATCGGGAAATTGATGTTGATCCAATAACGTTAAGCCCATTGCGACGCGATTTCGGGACGTGCAGGTCGCGCGGGAAAATAGCCGTCGACTGGCGTCACTTACCGGTGGCGCGTCGCAGGTAGCTGTAGCGGGTCGCGGGGAAGAGTTCGGTGGAAAAAGAAAAAGGAAAATACAGGACAAAATCTCTTTGGCGCGCGCGGCGCCGAAATGTCACGCAGCCATGCCATATCTTAGGATTAGAATATTGATTTAGGTTGGCCGAGAGCGCCTTTCGGGTGTTGTCTTAGAACGAGTCCTGGGATAATCGTAAGCGTGTTTTAATGGGGTGGCTCGCGCGCCATTGTCCGGGACGGATCTTACGGCGATCACTTTTTCCGCAATTATCTCGGAAACACGACGGGTCTCTTAAACAGTGTCCCGCGGTCTTGCTTACCTGCGGTCCGCCACCGGCAGGCTTGTGGTACGCTGTGCCGCGATGCAAAGCCGCGGTCAATGGCTATTTCCGTGAGAGAGGATGTCACGTTTTCCTTATGCACGTCGACCAGTTGCCCTACGTTTTTGAAAACTTGGGGGACACTCGCGATACACGCTACCGCCCATTAGTGGCAGTGTTACTTTTTCGTTTTACGCCTGTAGAAATTATTTTTCTCTCTATTTTTCGCCCTCTCTCTCCCTCTCTCTCTCTCTCTCTCTCTCTCTCTCTCTCTCTCTCTCTCTCTCTCTCTCTCTCTCTCTCTCTAGTTTCTTTCTTAACAGCGATTTCTATAATTTTCTATTTTGTGTATTTTCTTTCTATTTCAACATATTTTATTAAGCTTAATTTTCTAACATATATGAGTTTCAAAAGGCAGTTAAAAAATTTTTTGTGGTAATAATCTTACGGCTTTAGTTTTATCAGCAAAGCTTTTCATTATTTTAATGTGCCTAGACTTTGGTGATGCGTTTAAAATTTTTTGAAATATTTTGAAATTGAAATTTTTTTATTTTGTGCGAAATCCTCTGCTATTAAACTACATACGTTCGTTTCAAGTCGATGAAAGTTAAGTATCACGTAGATTGTACAGGTGAAACGTCAATCTTGACATCATCGTTTGGAATTATATCACCTCGCAAAATCGATCGGAGGAAGAAAATCGCGCAACGTCGTTGATGTCTCGTAATCGCTGAAATTTACTGAAAATTATCGAAATTTCGTGCCTTAGAGATTATCAGAGACGGCGTAAAAGAGTGGGCGCGAACGAAGGCGGAGGAAGTGTCAAAAAAGAAATGACGACGCGATAAAGAACGCAACGCTTGTTTCACGTTCGATGCGTTCGGAAGAAGACGCAGGGAAAGAGACGGATGGAAGGAATCAGGGAAGACGCGTGTAGGCCGAACGAAACGAATGCGAAGGAGCAGGAAATAGAGTCGGAAGAGCGAAAAGAGACGGCGAGAGAGGACGGACGGCGCGGCAAGGAGGGTGAGGCGGGTAGGAGGCCAGAAAAAATCCGGAGATTTATGCGGAAAGGGCAAAATATTCCCCGCCCAGGCTTCATTCAACCCCTAACTACGGGGTGGCTTTGGATGAAAAGCACGCGCCCTCATTGGTCGAGAGGCTAATATGGCGGTGTTAGGGGTTGCGAGGTGGGGCGCGTGTACGCGATATTAAGGGCTGCTTTCATGTCCGACGAGCCAGTTCGTGGTGCGCCGTCGATTGACGCATTTTCCGTCGAGAGAAGGTGGAGAGCGAAGCGTTAAAGCGTCCGGCGCTCTCTCCTGTCGCCTGTTCCTCGTCGTCGTTCTCCTGCTCTCGTCGAGAGTCTCTCATTCGCGTTCGCCAACCCTCGCGCACTTCCCTCCGGCTGCAGACGTACGCGGATGTACGGCGGAGGGACACACATGGCACGGCGGGAGGTTCGATTTGCGCGCGTGTCCATCGCCGAAGAATTTATCACCTGCATCACCTACCAGTGATTCTCGTGAGCCGAGAGATCGGCCTACGGCGACGCTCGCGAGTCGAGACAATTCCCGCACCAGTGCTCCCGCCCGTAAAAACCGGCTGACTTTTTCGCCCCAGGCATGGCGCAGACTTACAATCAGAAGAGAAATGTGTACAGCATCGACCAGATACTGGGCCACGGTAAGGACGAAGGTGAGTCCCTTGAGCTTGAGAAGAAGCGCGCGTAAGACACCGGCGGCGGATGCAGGACGTCTCAAGGTTTCAATTAGGAATACCACCTACCGACTCCCTACCACCGGTAATGACTTGAAATTTCTCAAGAACAAAGCAAACAGCTGTTGTAGCCTGAACGGCCTGCCTGAGAAGGTCTGCGCGTTTAGATCGCTCGTCGATAAATCCGTCAGTGTGTAGTATGAAGTTATTTTTTGCCTTTGCATGACTTGACACGAAAGACATCTCCGATAATGAATGCCGTGATCGATGGCAATTATATTCGCGATACAACATTCGACTGTAATGTATCGTTAACGATGATCGACGATCGGGTAGACTCGGCGTCCCCGAGCGACTGGAATTTCTAATTACGTCTATAAAAATCTCAAAGTTTCTCTTCAGAAGTTTTGTTCGTCGAGTGTCTGCATGGACTTCGTATTGCGGTTAAAAATTTTGCAACGGTGTCGTGCGTTCCGCAAAATAAAATAATTGGGCCTTCCGCGCACGAAATGTTTACGTACGATCGTAATGACTGTAAAATCGATAACTTGGCTTGTTCTCGTTAACGTTCGCAGAATCCTCGATTATTTGCCAACTAGTAAGTTCGTTACAGTTTTTATTACCCCGATGGCTATCGGTCGCGATGCGATAACGGCAGGCACGTATTCTGTATTCCTCTCTCTTTCTCTTTCTCCCTTTCTTTTTATTTTTCTCTCTCTTCTGTTATAACAAAGTGAGTTATCTAGGTCGATACATTGCGAGTCAAACAGACGAGCATTATCTGATAAGGTGTATAATACGGTAATTTTATAAATGACAACCGGCCGCTTTCTGAAGTCATTAAAAGTGACTAGTCGCTGATTTTCATAGCCGTTTGCAGATTATACCGTGAACGCGATGCATACATTGTAATGCGTCTCTATTCTTACCGGGGATTTATTAATGTCATTTTCTTGTACCGAGTAATAAGTTGTGTGCATTGGGGTAGAGTGCAATTTGAAAATGAATTGTATGAATTATAATCGTGATTTGAGAAATATAAATCGTGATAATTAACTGTTTGCCGTATGATTTAGTTTGGTATCGCGCGGTGCTGTAATGAGGGACAGAGTCATTCGCGAAGTGGGACAAAGACGTCTTGACTCGTGATTTTCATGTTTGGCCCGGATTCCGTCATTATACGGCAAAAGGTTAATCAGATGTTGCAAATTCAACTGTTAAAAATGAAACATTAAAATCTCAAAACTTGTACTACGAGTTGAATTTTGAAGTTTGAAATTTCGAATTTTGAAGATGAATCTTTTACATTTCTAGATCTCCCCTTGTTCCTTTTTCTTTTTACCTGTTTGACTTTCTGCACGAGAAGAGAAGATGCTACAGAAATCCGAGACTAATGTCCTCTCGCTGCGTTGCTCTTGACAAAAATCACTGTTTACATGGGGAAAATAATGAGAAAATAAGAGTGTCACGAAGGAAACACGTAGTCCCGATCTCACAGTAAATGGATAACTGTACATTTCGAGCAACGACAGAGGTACGCACGTCGCGAAATGCGTCGTCAAGTTTAGGATAGTGCAATTAAAGGCAGTGTAGACGTAATTAGGTCGTCGCGGGTCACGAATCTGTGGCGACGATCGGTGTAACATGAATTTACTGCTACACGATGTTGCGACACGCGAGTGCATGCGCGCGTGATTAGGCCGGACGGACGTACGAGAACGGCCGTTTGTTTCGATGCATGCACTTTGCAGAATTATCATGACGCGATAAATTGCGCTATCGAATTTAAAGAACCGCGTTGTTACGTGTTTTCGCTATCAGCGGCGACCGCGGCTTACGGCTGTAAGCGGGGTTGTCTGTCTGTCTCTCTCTCTCTCTCTCTCTCTCTCTCTCTCTCTCTCTCTCTTTCCCTCGTTGCAGCGAGTGATTTTCCCGTGTTATTTTTACTAAACGTACAAGCGCCTTTGCCGTTCGATGTGCACTTGTCAGTCTCCGCTTAAAAATGCAGCCGCCGCGTGCGCATTGTGGCGACGCGGCGCGGCGCCGAGCTTTCGATGAAAAATGTATCAGAGGATATCAAGATATCGATACAAGGCGCGCCTTCCATCTTTTTTCCTTCTCTCTTAGCCCTTCCTTGGTTCCTGCCTCCTCGTTCTTCAGCGCGAAAGCAAGAATTGCTTTATCGAGATGAAAATTCACGACCACTGATGACGGTCGGACATTTAATTTCATTTAGCCCTATTTTAGATCTCGAACGAATAAACGCGCTAATTCGAGGATTAATCGCAATGAATGAAAAAAACGGGAAAATTGAAAAATTGCGATAAATTAGCTGAGCCGCGGCGTATTTTTGCTCGCCAAAATGTTGACCTCAAACACGTTGAAATTGTACAGGCAGAAAATTGTGCGCGGCGACCATGTGCGTATAAATTATTCGGCGCGAACATGTCGAGGATTTTCAAGATATTAACGACTGCAACGGGGCGGAGAAAAATAACGTCGCATGTGTACGCGGTAATCTGAAGCGATCAGCTCGCGACAGGGCTTTTATCTCGAATTGTGTAAAAAGTTTCTCCCTTCGTTGCTCTCTTTCCTTCGTTTCCCCTTTTCTCTTTATTTATTTATTTTTTTGTAAGAGATGCATTGTAATGGATTTACTTAGTTTTTAATTTATAAGCGATCGGCGATAAACCGCGGTAACGCGAATTTACGGCACGAAGTTACGACACGCAAACACCGCGTGTACACAGCAGATGCACGACGCTCTATCCTTTTTTCGCTGTATACGAACGCAGAAATGCCACACGTGATGCGCGCGCGCGCGCGAGCGAACGTGTCCATCAAGTGCACAAAATCATGCGAAACAATTTTCCGGATGCGACGGATGCGTATAAATTATTAGAGATGTATAATTTGTATGTACACGCGTGCGCGCGCGTCTATTTGTTCGCGTAGCCAATGTCTATACGTTCTCAAGCGTATTGTTTCGCGTCACGTTACGCGTCGTTTACGATTCATCGTTCGCTCGAAGAGCACGACGCAACTCACGTCACCACGACGATTCGAGGCAGACTCTCGTTGGCACTTGCAAATATTTCGCACACACGACGTAATACACACACACAGATATACACACACGTACAAGGGGGTTACGCGCGTCCTACGTATTTTCACAAACACGCGCTCGCGCGCGTGCGCACGCTGTCCCGTCGCATTTTTATCTCGGCCGGGGAAACTCGCGGCCGGCGGTATTAACGTTAAGTCCTCTTAAGGATTTTATTAGATTTCCAGCGCAAAGTCCTCGGCCACTTGTAATCCGCCCCCTGTCTCACGAAAGTACATCCGGGCTACCGGACTTGTAGCTTTTAACGCTTGACGCTTAGACGCGTATAATCCGCGTAGGCGCGCAACGGTTTCTGCCGGAGAGAAACACCTGGGGGATGGGCCGCCGATTGCGACTCGACGACGTCTTGACGTCATGTTGCGCTGAGCAACTTGATTAATTTATTATCACGCGCGAGCGCGGGTGTGCGAGAACGCCGATCGCCGACTCGTCGACGTTTCCCTCGACAACAACCGACGGGGTGTTTCGCGCGTCATTGAGCGTTACGTCGACATGTGCCCCGATCGCGGCACGGTAAATAAATTTTTAATTTCGCTCCGCCTGTGCGCGATACTACCCTCGATCGCCTCTCCCCGTCCTAGTCTCGTAGTCGGCCGGTCCACATCAGGCGTCGGCGCACAGTAGATTTAATAAAAAGCAGTGGAGAGCTAAGCATCAAGTGGGTACTCCATTGTGCCCCGGCATAAAAACATCGAAATCTCTCTATTCAGCTTGGATTAGTACGACGATGCCTCTCTTTCCATGCGCGTGTGCGTGCGTGCGTGTGTGCGTGCGCGCTCGATCGTACGTGCGTGCGAACGTGCGTATCGCGCACTCGCACACACGCAAGGCCGCCGGTAGCAGCGGATGCGTGCATCGCGCGCCGCATACGTTTTAAATCGTTTCTCGGCTCATCCTATCACAACTGCCGGCTGTGTATCGACACCGAAAAGTAGGATTAGCATCATTACGCACGAGTAGTAAATGCTTGTCTAATTAGCCCGGCCGGAGATGCGTATAGGGAGGGCCAGTGGTGTGCAGCGCGCGCGCGCACGCTCTCGGCAGGGGTGGATAACCGTAAGCGTGCAGTCGTTCGAAATTAGTCAGTTTTCGTTCGCTCTCTCTCTCTCTCTCTCTCTCTCTCTCTCTCGCTCCCCCCCTCTCCCTCTCTCTCTCTCTCTCTCTGCCTGTTTCGCCCACTCGGGTTTGAAAAATTGCGGCGCGAACGATGCGAATCTCAAATATGATACTTGCATCAAGTAAAAAAAACCGAGTAGCAAGACAAGAAGCATAGGAAACCAGAAACCGGATAAATCGACGCGCTGAGCTTGAACGCGTCGTCCAACTCGATACCAACTGTTCGGTCGCCATTCAGCTTCAGTTTCCTCCACATCCTGTCTCTGTTCTCTGTCTCTTTTCTCCATCTCTTAGTTATCTAAATATCTGAGAAAGGAGACAAATTTATTCTGATTTTTTCTACCGAAGTAGGGGGTCAACAGCGGCTTCGGTTGGCAAAAGCTCAACCGAAAGCTATAATATATATTTGGAAAGGATATTTTTTTCTGAGTTATATAAGATGTAATATGTATAATATATAAGTTACGTTCTCGTTGGCCGAGCATAACATTCATGTTTGACAAACGAACTATAATAGAGGAAATCTTGGTCAGTGTCTACGCCCGGGTCAGTGCCGGGCGACTTGCAGCATTTGATCCCTGCAAGCCGCTCGACGTCCATTCATTTTCCCTCGAGGTCGTCAGTTTCTTCGTAACGAGATAGCAATCTCACTTATCGAGAGACAGATATTATTCCGGAGATGCGCCGCACAGAGTACGGTGTAACGCACAAAATGATTTCGCGGCAACGCTCGAAGCAGATTACAATTTAATGTGAGATTAGTCGGCGCGTATGCGCGCATAAGCGGATATAGATGGAGTCATAGTGAAGCGTTGTAACTTGCTGCTTCGTTCTCGCAGCGTTATCCAATTTAGATGCATTAATCTAAAGCGCGATATGCATCTGGCTAATTAATTAGCGCGACTGACTAATTAATTGGCTCGCAAGGCAACGACGACGCAATTTGTATCGGTGAATTGTGCAAGAACGCCGTCGTGGTCGAACGCGATAACGTGAGTCTAACAATATGTTTACACGAGACGTGCGTTTGCAACGACGAGCTACGTAAACGCACGTTGCAAGTTTCTTCTCGCGCGGCTTATTTTCCGCAATTATATCTGCAAAATATTCAGGTTTTTTCTATTATCGTTTGCTTGTATGTCTTATATCGCGCATATTAAGAACGTGTAATTTACATTATTCGAAGAACTTCAAAGAAAAGCTTCAAAGAAAAGCAAAGCTACGCCACCAGACGATACGTAGGAAAGTTTTTAGCACCGTTCGAGTATTTTTGGAAGTCTCGTTGTTTTTCTCTCAAAACATAAAAAAAAATTGAGTCTTGTCCTACAGCAGATTTTCGGTGATAAACTGGACCGGGTGAGCTTGTCTCGAGAAGAAGCGCCTTGGTAGTTCAGTAGGAATACATAGAGAGCCGCTCTTTTCAATGGATAAGAAAGAGAAGGAGCGAACAGGGGGAGGAGAGGGGAGGGGAAGGGGAGAGAAAAACGTATCGTTCACTCAAGATTACCGGCATAAAGGCGAGTTCAAAGGGGAATAATAAATTGCGCGGCAATTTATGACACGCGCGCATAGTATATACGCGCATACCGTTTCTTACGAACGTCAAAGAGATAACAAGGTTCGTCACTATACTCGATTTTTGCCGCTTTTTCGCTCGCAAACCGCCTGTCTGCGCCTTCGCAAGTATATCCCGACAAGCGCATCAATGTACCAACACATATTGTAATGTACATACACACTTCTACACACATAAACACATATACACATACACATACCCACCCACCCACACACACACGCACACACACACACACACACACACACACACAAACGCACAATAACCACGCACACACTAGGCCGTTCTCCGTCCGTGGCCTTTTTAAAATTCGTTACACTGAATTTATTTTTAACGCGTCGAGTGCCTTTCGGAATTATATGCAGATCACCCGATTTGCGATTATTTGAGCGTTCATACAATATCTCCCCCGCATTACACCGGGCGTTTTTCCAGCGTTTTTAAGCATATCGATTCGACCGTTGTAGAGTCGCAAGTTTTGTAACAAAGTTGTTGAAACAATCCATCAATTATTTAAATTTCTCGTATAAACGCTCGGGAGAACGCCGGCGCGCGTAATACGCGCGTATAGACGACAAATTACGTTCGAGCCGAACGCGCGACCATTATTCGGCTGGTGTTTCCGACGACGCGTCAAATTGACCGTTCCGGCATGCTTCGCGAATCCCAGCGGCTCTTTGCGCGACGATCCTTCCTGCCGAGGAGAGCTACCTGAGAGTCCATCCGAGAGTCCGTCGAACGGCCGGTCGAGCAGATGGAGCGCGATTCGATTTCTCGCCTGATGCGTATCGAACAAAATACCTGACTGCATCTACGTGTAGTTTACTCTAATGGGGCTTTAAGCCCTCATCGATGCTCGCGCAAAAGACAGAACGAGAACGAGTGGCCATGGCAGCAAGTATGACTGGGGGGACGAGGCGGGGGTTGCGATCGCAGAAAGCCGAGAAGGGCATGTGTTGCACGGGGGTACAAGACTGCTGTATTGCGAGAGGGAGAGAGGGCAGAGGACGAGGAGGAGGAAGAGGAGGAGGAGGAGGAGGAGAAAGAGGGACGGGCGGTAGTATGCACTCGTGATATTTGCTAATCACTGACAGCGACGGCTTTTAAGTACTGTCGAGCACATACGTATAATGTGCGCACTTACATTTGTAGGGTATTTCGCGCGTATACACGCGGGGCGGATATATGGAACGGCGCATGAAAAAAAAAAGGAAAAAAAAATGAAGCACCGGGTGAGGCTTAAAAATTGGCAAATCCGCCGATCGGACGTCATCGGCGTATCGGTTATATCGGTACCGGTTGTTGTGCGGCTTAAAAATGAAATTGCGCCCGTTTTCTCCCCGCCATCCTGCCGCTGCCGCCGCCACTGCCGCCTCCGCCGCCGCCGCCGCCGCCGCTGCCGCCGCCGCCGCCGCCGCCGCCGCCGACGCCGACGCCAGGATATATCAGGCAAAACGACAATTTCGTTTTGGCAACATGGGCGATATGGCTTAATCGCCTTGATCGTCTCTCGCGCTCGAGTATCGGGGGTATCGTTTGACGTGTATACACGTGTACGAGCGTTTAACAAGCGGGGATGCGCCAAATAACTCGGAAGGGTCGCAGGGATTCCCGCGTCTCCTCAAGCGGGGAAAAGTTCTTCCCTCCGACGCGGCCGACATTTCGCGGATGTTTCCTCGATTCCAGCGTTTCGACGTTACAATCGCGATGTCCCGCGTAGGAATACATGCGCTCGATTGCTGTCTATGTCTATAAATGATTTTAAAAACATCAGATTGTATGACTGTCTCGGAAAACGTAACCTGCCCGCGGAATAGTCTACGGAATCTCGAAGGAAGTTCCGGAATACGGCGTTTCCCACATGCAGGAAAGCAGAGACTATGTCTCGTTTCTCTTTCCAGGGTATTTGAAAATAATTATCGACGATGGAGCAAGCGTCGTACAAACGAGATACAAAATATAATACAACATCCTAAGCTTTTTGTTTGTTCATACCGGGCTACGGGTTCGTATGGATCATTCGGATAAGGAGTTGGAGACTGAAGTCGCGAGGAGTCTGGTCGCCGCAAATATACAGCGCAGCCTTGCTATTGTTGTTTCCAGATCACGCTACGTCATCCGACGCAGCCGTTGATGCCGGCGACACGGAGCTTGGTCACCTGAGCGATCATCAAATCAACGACGGTTTGCACGATCCTTTGAACCTGGGCGAGTCCGACCGACCGCGCAAAGTGCGCCGTTCCCGCACGACCTTCACGACCTATCAGTTGCACGAGCTTGAGAAGGCCTTCGGAAACACGCAGTACCCGGATGTGTTTACTCGAGAGGAGCTGGCGATGAGGCTGGATCTCTCGGAGGCCAGAGTGCAGGTATGGATAGTGCATTTCTTGGAAGTAAGAGAAATATCCGCGTGGATGTTTGGACAGTAGAGAGAGAGAGAGAGAGAAAGAGAGAGAGAGAGAGAGAGAGGGGGGAGAGAGAGAGAGAGGGAGAGAGGGGGGAGAGAGAGGGAGGGAGGGAGAGAGAGGGAGAGAGGGGGGAGGGGGAGAGAGGGGGAGAGATATAGAGAGAGGGAGAGAGAGGGGGGAGAGAGAGGGAGGGAGGGAGAGAGAAGGAGAGAGAGGGGGAGAGAGAGAGAGAGAGAGAGAGAGAGAGAGAGAGAGAGAGAGAGAGAGAGAGAGAGAGAGAAGCAGATAGGGATGTAGCAAGCAGATTAGAAATTTCGGTATACGCAGAGAGAACGGAGTCGTGTCCTTATCTCATCATCCTTCCTCGAAGAAATATAAGTTTGATATGAATTATCTAGAGTATTTGCTGCAGATATTTGCTGACCCGCGTAAACTTTTGTTATTTTATTATCTAATATGTAATTTCCGTATCGCTGAAATTTAAAAGACAAGGGGCATATAATTTCGGTTCTGTGTTTTGAACTTAATAAACGCAGAGGTCTAACGTCTTTCATGAATCGCAAGCGCAATGCGGGAATATGTTTCTCGTACATATTCCTGTCTTTTTCGTCCGTCTCGTTATGTAAACATAGTGGTTTAGGAGAATATTATTGTACGAAGGGAATGTACGATATTCCCCCGAGATCACACATATCATCTCCTCCCAGATTCCGATGTGATATTCTCGCGCGGAGAAAAGTTAATCTTCCGTCGTGTGTTTGGAAAGAGATTAACTCACGCCTTTTTTCGCGACGGCCGATTCGGATATTTCAAATGCGGCCCGAGGAGAATGAGGGAGGGGAAAGAGTTCGAGCCACACAGATTTTATCAGCGGACGAGACGGTTGCAGAAGCATAATTAACCTCTCGCCGCTTTGGCTGGCCGAATTCACAAAGGCACGCTGTCGTTGAGTTTCACGCATTTGATAGCGGACACATTCGCACAAGTTCTGTAAAGTAGTTTGAGTAACGAGCTTTAGATTCGGCCAGCATGACAGAGTTTAAAAAGCTAACCGGCAACTCGTACGTAAATTTTACGTTTAAATATGGAGTCCAATTTAAAAAACTCCGGGCAATAATGCACTGTGAGCTACACGAGCGAATGTATTCCGAATGTTACATGTTAATAATACTTACATAACGAGACCTCGAAAATCGCTGCTGTCGACACTTCGTTATCGCGACAACCGTACATTGCATATATATAATTTATTACATATATATTCACCCGCAAAAAAAATGGGCCACTAAATTTTAGCACAATTTTAGCACATAAATTATCGTGGAAAATTTTTTTAAAAAGGAAATTAACATGTAACTCGATCAAGATGTTCTACGTGGTGGTAAATAATCGGATTTAAATCTCGTGTGAGTGCATGCGTATACCTATGCATGCATATGTGTGTCCTGCTCTTAACGTTACCAAGATCAACGGTGTGGAAGTGACAAGAATCTGATCCCATATGTGTGAGTGTGGGTGTGTGTGTGTATCTCTATGTGTGTATATCTACGTGTGTATGTGTGTGTGTTTAAATTTAATAGTGCTTATTGTCTCTACTCGTATTTAACAATTCTTCTGTTCGTTGGGGTATACTGTAAATCAAATTTCTGACTTCTTCTTGTTTTACATTGTTCCATTCTTTTTACAAAGCGTTGCGAAGTGCTACTAACGTTTGAGTATTATGTTTTCTTATTCTTCGTTTCAGCATGCTGCCCATAAATGCTCGATAGGATTCACATCCGAATTCATAACATTTTCTTCAAAACGGCATAACATTATCCAAAAAGGTCGTAGAAAAATGATTAAAATATGAATTTGTTAGGAAATAAATGAGCTTTAAACCTCATAAATTTTTGCACCAGAGAACCGATTCCCCTGAGCAGTGCAACAGTTAAAAAATAAATTTTTTTTCCCATTAATCGAAGTTTATCTTTAGCATCCGCCATTTTGTAAAACATTTATTACAATTCACTTTTAGGTGTTCAGTTGTTGACAAGCAATATCTAAGCTTTAATTTGAACCTTGTTTCATATCAATACGATAATTTTTGGCTGAGTGTCGCTATTGAAAGATATGAAAGATATGCAGGAAACTGTACTAAAATTTAGTGGCCCATTTTTTTTGTGGGTGAGTATATTTGTTGCATATATAATTTATCACGATCTCCAAAATTTTAACCGCTCACCATTGTTTACGCGAATAAAATACAACGTTTCCGTGGTACATTCCACTGTGACCAGCACAGAATGATCTTCGCGAGCCAACAATTTTCCAAAGCCCGCCTTATGTATCTCGCGGAGAGCCCGGAGAGCATCAAGCGCCCTCGAATTCTCGCAGGACTGCGCTCTCTCGCGCGACTCAGCCTCAAGGTGCGAGTCACTCAACTAATTAGGGAGCATTGTATCGCAAAATGTCACGCTGCCGTTTCTATATCTGTAATTTTGCGAAACACATGCAACGCCCGGATTTCGTCAATGATTAATTCCGCGGGTAGAGAGCGGAGTAAAAGGGCTGGGTGGAGCGAAGAGCCGAAGAGCTGCCTTGTATAGAGCAGTAATCTGCTTAGGAATTACTTTAAAACGGCGTCCTTGACAAATTCAAGTATGTTGAAACGCAGCGCATTGGGGTGTAGTTCAGTCCATAGGTACGCATCATTCTCTCTCTCTCTCTCTCTCTCTCTCTCTCTCTCTCTCTCTTTCTCTCTCTCTCTCTCTCTCTCTCTTCCCCCCTTCTGTGTATCCGCGCGCTTCCTTTCTAATACGTTATCCTGCAGATAACTCAATTCTCATAGAGAACGCTTCGCCAAAAGTATCCCGGTTAGGGGATCAAATTAGCAACGTCGCGTTTAACAATTTCGAACAGATCGACTCCGTCGACGAATTATTTCTGATCTGGTCGAGTAACATTTGAATGCGAGCCGATCGTGGACGGTGAATGATTTTTTACGGAGGATCCAGATGATGGGAGATGCTTGTGGCGATCGAGGGATTTTCTCAAAGAACCAACATCGCCTCGGCGTCGAGTAAGTGCGCGACCCTGGAGTCGGCGGTTCGATTGTTTCGTACTGACGTAGGCACACATGGCAAAGAAACTGTCGGTAATTTTGAGGAGATACGCATACTCACAGAGATACATTCATGTGTGTACGATGTGTGTGTGTACGTGTGTATATATATATGTGTGTGTGTGTGTGTATGTATGTATATGTATACACATTTCTACATGTACGGCATATTCCATATGTATATATGTCCATGAGTGAGTGCGAGGGGTTGCGTGAAGCAACGTCGACGGAAGGGTGGCGGTGATGCTGAAAAGAGACAGAGAGCATTCCGATTGGCCCATTGTGGTACAGCGGAGCGACAATGCCGGCAATTGGCCGTCGCTCGACAAAACCGCTAAATGATCCGCCGCGGCGCACTGGTGCCACGGCCACTTTATTTCAATCTAGGAAATCCTCCTGCCCTCCCTTCCCCTCCTCGCCTCATCCTCGTCCTCCCTGCCCGTCCTTCCTACTACCTCTCGCGTGCTCTCGCAGCGATTCCAGATGCGAAATTACTCCATTTTTCGATATTAACGGCCGGCCGATGTATCGCGATGATCGCGCGTATGGTAATGCAATCGCGAGTCGCTTCTGACTTTTCCTATCTCTGTGCTCGTCGGTCGATTCCGCGATCGCCGCATTTGGATGTTCCGTCGGAGTTTTTATGGTCCTTTGCGTATGCAGTACGGCGCGATTCTCCATGGAATCGCGATGAGTTACTTCACTACGCGGTTTATGCGGTCGGAGAGACGATTTCTCCTCTTCATTTAAATTAATTACCTTTTATCAGATAAGGTGACACGGTGTCGATAGTTCCAAAATTTACGCGCCACCGAGAAACTGTTGAAAAACATTCTTCTCGTAATCTTTTCGGAGCATCCGAGTTGATCAAGATCACTTTTCAATGAGACGTTATTTACCGATGAGGATACCGAATTCGGGTAAGAGATGACCGTACAAAAAAGATCTCCATAAGCTGTAATTTTTCCAGTAATTTCTAAACAGTGTGTCTTTTGTAGCCATCCTCAAAGATAATTTATATTTATAATAATTTATGTACATATATTATTCGAAACAATAATATTATAAATATTATATATGATTATCTTACACATATTTGAGTTTACTCTAGTCGAACGTTTGTAGGACGTGAGAAAAAGTGCGCGCTTAATTTATACTATCTCGCCGAAAATAATCTGGATGAATTGCCAATATCCGGCCAAGAATTGTAGAAGTTACGCAGAATTGTGGAAATATTAGCGAGTTCGATGGTACAAATGGTCCGAGAGGTTAATACGCGGCAGTTATGGGAACGTGTCGGCGGCGTTGCAAACTTTCGAGTCCGGGAGGCGACGGGTCGCTTAAATGACGCAAGGTTTGCGAGCACTTAGGCGTTAGGGGCTATTCAGGGGCGATTAAATAATTAACAGCAATTAGGCAATTGAATTTCCTGCCCTCGCCCGGCAGCGCTCGCCTCTTTCCCTCGCCTCAACGTTATTCCTCTCTCCTTCCTCGATGCCACTTTCTTCTCTCTTTCCGGCGCGCGCTCCCGGTTTTCCTACGTCGTTTGATTTTACTTCGCAATTCCACCGTGCTAATTTGCTAATTTATCGCGCTCCGATGGCACGTCGGTATTATTAATTTTATTCGATTGTCTCGTGAGTTATGATTAACGCCGTCGCGTATTAATATAAATCGTAATCCTCGCAGCCGAGGAATTCCAGGAAGAAGGCGTCTTCAGGAAGAAAGGACCGTCAGACTGCTTAAATAGAAAATCGATATTGTCTTATCCCGACCTGTTTTCTTTACAGTATTTACAGCTATAACTGTTTATTCAACGATGTACTTACGATGAACACGGCCATTACTCATACATCTCTGTTATCCTACATTTATGTTTTTTTCCATATTTGATTTTGCTTTTTTCATATTTTTTCCATATATATTGTCGAATCTGAAGGAGAATACCCGGGATATAATAAGACTTTTCCTCTTTCGCTCGTCTTTTTTCCTTCCTCCTCTTCCTTCCGCCGCTGCTCCTGGTACCCAACGAAAAATCAGAGCAGCTCGGGCAGAAAGCGAAAGCATTTATACGGCAACCGGACCAGCGATAGGGTTGCCGGGGATAGATGAGGATAGGGCCGAGGGCAGGGGTTACCAGCACTCAGGGGTACGAAGGAAATCAGGATAATTGTTAACAATTAGCTTAATCAACCTCGAGAGCAAGCTTTTGTTGAGCGCTCTGATACGCGTGCCTGGGGTTCTCATGCACTTCCCTTTTCTGCCAATTTCGAATCCTCGTGACGAATCCTCCTGATGTTCTGACAATTAGCGATCATCCGAGGCTGCGAATTATCTCTTAACGGTCTAATGCGATAATGGAATTAGTTGCGGCAATTTGTTGTTCGCTGCGCAGCGACAGTCTCGTCCCGTCTGGAGTATAAAATAGTTGCTAAGCTCCGATTAATATCATAAAAGAAAGAGATACTTCTCCTCTGTTTCAGGTCTGGTTTCAGAATCGTCGTGCGAAATGGCGCAAGAAGGAAAAGGCGTTAGGCAGAGACACTAGTTTCATGCACGTCGAGCAAGGCGGTGAGTTTGAGCGTGATGATGAATTCAGCTGGTCTTTTTCCAAAGTTTTGACATTTCTCGTACGTAATGAAAAAAAAAAATTCGTTTCGCGAATTACCGTCGGCAGTCACAATTTGAACAATTTTTACCATGCCCTGTTTTTAAACACTGTGCCTTTCTAAGAGATGACTGGTCGATCAAGTTTTCTCTCTCCCTCTCCGCCCCTCTCTGACTCTCTCTCTCTCTCTCTCTCTCTCTCTCTCTCTCTCTCTCTCTCTCTCTCTCTCTCTCTCTCTTTATCTCTATCTTTATCTCTATCTCTCTCTAATTCTCAATGAATTCTCCTCAGCTTCGCTGCAAATTCGAATCGCGCATTTCCCGACGATGAACGAGTCGCGGATCGCCGGGCAATCGTGAACGCGCGCTTTCATTCGCACAGTTGCTTCCTCGCTTCGCTGTAACGTAGTAACATGCGTGTTACGCTCGTGATATACGCAGGGGAGGACGACGAGGCACGAGTTACGAAGGGTAGATGCAATCGGCGACAATTATGTCTAATTTCAGTGTCGGCCGTCGCAGCCATCACGTGCGAATGATGCGCAATAGAAACCCTGGCCGATTAATTTTTCATAAGAGAGACGCCCTATGGGTAAAACTTGCGCGGGCGGAAAAGGGAGGGGCAGAGGGGATTGACGCGTTGGCGACGAAAAAATATTTCCGCTAATGACTCCGACACTCTACGACATCCTACCGATCGATTTTTATTAACTACGTTCGACCGCGTAACGAGGAAGCTCGCGCTCTTCAAATTTTCTTCTCCTGGCCTCAACTAGCATGCCATCCATATTGTTTGTCAGTCGCAAAAAGGCATCAGAGAAATAAAGAGCCTCGGCAAGCCCCATGCAAAAAATGCCCGTTTTCGGTACCTCGATTTTTGAAACTTTTTTTATGCCAAATTTTATGCCAAATGATGACCCAAAAATCCTTGCAAAATTTCGAGACGAGCATATGCCCCGTTTAAGAAATATAGGGGGTCAAAGTTGACCATGTCCAATTAAAAAATATAGCAGCTTCACATTTATACTCCAATAATAATGTCCAAAAAATTCGGCCGAAATGGTTCTTTTAAGATTTTTGGCTGCTGATTATGAATCTGAAGTCAGATTTTAAAAATAAAAAATGGCGAATCCAATATGGCGGACGAATTTTTCTTAAATTCATCAGATTCACTTGAAACTCGTTACTCGGAGGTTTTTGGGGTTCACCAAATACGAAAGAGATAAAAAACTTGTCATCTTTACTTTTTCTTTGCTTATCACAGCTAATGCATTTAACGAAAGGCATTTTTACTAGAAAATCGAACTTTTTGCAGTAGCGCATATAAAAACTTTTTAAACAACAAAAAAGCATAGATTTAAGTCATTAGCATGAAAAAACAAAGAGTACAAAAAAATCTTACCATTTATCATTAATAATATTTTTCAAATAACAATATTTCCAAATTTTTGAAACTGAAACTTTTATTTTATTACATTCGCAAGAGTACGATACAAATAAGATGTAGGATGGAATGGAATGTTAATGAAATGATGATCTGCTGATCGTCTTTTGTTTTCAAGGTTTCGTAACTCTAGGCCGAACTCTTTAAAACGAGACTCAGTCCGCTCGACGCTCACCGCTCCTAGGTAGAATGTAGGTCCAATGTGAGGAAAAATAGGTCCATTGTAGGACAAAATAGATTCTATGTTCGGTCAAAGTAGGTTTAATGTAGTGACAAAGAAGATTTAGTGCTGGTTAAAAGTTAGTTAACCGTTAGATTCGTAATCAGCGACCCCAAAAACCCCCGAGTAACGAGTTTCAAGTGAATCTGATGAATTTAAGAAAAATTCGCCCGCCATATTGGATCCGCCATTTTTAATTTTTAAAATCTGGCTTCAGATTCGTAATCAGCAGCCAAAAATCTTAAAAGAACCATTTCGGCTGAATTTTTTGGACATTATTATTGGAGTATAAATGTGAAGCTGCTATATTTTTTAATTGGACATGGTCAACTTTGACCCCCTATATTTCTTAAACGGGGCATATGCTCGTCTCGAAATTTTGCAGGGATTTTTGGGTCATCATAAGTAACCATTTGGCTTGAAAAAAAGTTTCAAAAATCGAGGTACCGAAAACGGGCATTTTTTGCCGATGCTCTTTCCCCCTTTTCTCCCCTCAGAAAGGTTCAGTCAAAAAGTTCGGTTTTTAATTCTTGAGTCAAGTTAGACTTTATTGCAGGTTTGACGGAAACCAACTATTCGCCGCAATATTAAGACAGACTTTTAACGTGTTCATTGTTGCTGTTTAATATTTCGCTTTAATATTTAATATTTCGTTAATTTGATATTTCGCTGGAACATCAGAATTGGTTCTTGCATGATTCTCTCTTTCAACATTTTAACGATTCGCCCTATTGATTGTACATATCCCGAGAATCTTTGTAGTTTTGTTATTTTATTGCTACATTATTTATTGACGAATTAATCATCGTTATTGTCAGCTCACATGCTTTTATCACAAAGAATGGCCGACTCGTTGTCGTAGAAGACGAGAAATAGACCCGAACTTTTCGACTGACCCAGCAGAAAAGCGCTCGATGTGTAACAGTCCAGACTAGTAATTCGCGTCAGCGTTTGAGAGATGCAAGTGACACGTCTAGTGCGAATTCGTCCGAATGAAAGCGCCAGCTCCGCACAATAAGAACGCGCGGTACATCGACGTACGTGTCACGCGGTTGCGCTTTCCGCATTAGGAGTTCTCACGTTGGCAAATACAAAAGGGCGAAACAACAGTACCGGCGAAGCAAAAAGACAGGCTCCTTCGGGCCTGGCTATAATCCAAAGTCGCTCGTACGGGAGCCGTGAGCGGCCCGAGACGGGTGCGGAGCGAAATAAAAGAGCGCACCCGCTGAATCCTGTTTGCAGGTGTGAGCGAGTTGTCCCTTCACGCGCGCCTGCTGCAAACGGCCAGCGGCGTTCCCGGCGCCGATCCTTCGGGACCACCGACCGGCGCGTTTCCTTGGTTCATCCCGCCGGTGTTCCCGCCCCCATGGCCGGCGAGCGCGCCCAAGCTGCCGCCGTTGCACGCGATCCTGTCGCAGTACATCGGCCTGCCGTTGCCGCAGAATCTGGCGTCGCTCGGCACGATGCTGCCGGTCGGCTTGAACCCAGCGGCGTCGTCCTTGAACCACGGCAACGTCAACGGCCACACCCTGGCCGGCCACGCTCTGCACGGCCACCCGCTGAATCTCGGCGGCGTGCAGAGTTTACCGCAGAATCTGAGCTCGAAGCACGACAAGGACGAGGACTCGGCGTCGTCCGACGACGAGATCAGGAAGCAGAGCGCGGAGGTGCTGAGAGTGAAGGCGGAGGAGGTGCTACGCAAGGCGGACAATTAACTGTGAGAACTCGCGGACTTTTTTGTAAAGATCAAGGACTCCTCGCCGATCGTCTGCGGGATTCCTTCTCGTCCGGGGACGTTAATCAACCGTTCGTGTACGATACCGACGCTAAAAGGATTTCGACGGGGTGTGAGGACAGCCACGGCTGTTTCCGCTTCGCGTCTACGAGAATCGCGCATGCGAAGCGCGGCCAGGGCTCCCTTGCTCGCGCCACTGCGCAAGGATTGCGGATTTGCAATCCGGTGCTCTTTCGCGCGCAAGTCGACATTGACTAGCATTTTAATACATAAACATACTCACACACACACACACACTTGCATACAAATACACTGTGGATAGAAACGCGCGTAGGCGAGATCGACACGATCGAAGGCTCATTTTCACGGACGGAGGTCGCCTGCGAGATCTCCGTCGACGGAGAATCCAACAGTAAAGGCTGCATTTTCGCGTTCTCCTCCGGCACGCCCTGTGAAATCTCGGTCTAGTCACGGAATCGAGTAAGGATATTCGGGCAGGTAGCGGAGCGCGTTCGACACGCGCTCAGTCACTCGTCGTGGCGCACCCGTTGAAACGCCGCCAATTCTCGACACATTCGGTCGATGATCAGCGGCCGTTTTATCGCTAATTGGAGCTTTGCTCGAAACGCAATGGTGAGCCATATCGTACGCCAATTATCAATCGGTAATTAGCCGCTGATCGCATACACGCGTCCTTTTGATCTGGAGCCCACAAAGGCGAGGAGCGCGTCAAGGATCGCGAATATCCTTCTGAGTCGGTTTGTTCACGCTCTCGAGTCCATTAGCCGATAAAGGAGCCAGTCCGAAGTACAAACGAGGCCGATCTCGCAATAATGATGACGCAGCGGAACGATAAACAGTGCTGTGTCGAATTTCAAATATCACAGTCGCGACTAGCTGGTTCTTTCTTCTCTTTTCGTTGAAATTCTAGGGACAAAATGTAAGCTTGTGTTGTATTTTGCTGATTGAGAGAAAAGAAGGTTTTCTTTTTGTCGCAAATTGCTTGCTTCGATTGCAAGTTTTGCGAGAGTGCAAGAGTAACTCTCACGTTGGCTAACGAGTCTTATCAAATAAACGATCAATTCGATTCACTGTCGGGTAAATGATTAACAGAAGGAAAAATTCAGTCGCTCGTTTTCTCCCTTACGACATTCATCGCACTCGAGCAGAACGAGTTGCGACGAGTTTCCGAAAAAAACGAAGTATCGTACGTGCCGCGTCCGTCGACGGCGGTTAGTGGAGTTTCACGCATTATTTATACGCGTATTAATTATCTAGAACTATATATACCGCTCGAATCGTTACTCGACGACGACGCAACATCAATGTGTTTCATCGATGTGAAGGACGACGGACTGTGCCACGTTCGCGGGGCAAATCAGCGCGAATCAATTAGGCTCGTTGTTACACCGAGCTCAGGCACGACACTGGGATGCCGTTCGATGTTAAACAACAGCGATACGACGGTAATTTCGCGTGCATCCAGACCGTCGTGAAAGTGACAACTTTTCGTTGAACTAACAGATTCCAGAGAATTCGAGAGATTTCAGTGAATTCTTCTCGTCGAATTGTTAACTGTCGGACAGAAGTCCCTTTTGTATCGATTTTATGTGCCGATATATCTTTGAGGAACGATCGATTTGACTCTTCCCTTTTGTATCTTCTGAAAATCCGTGCAATGTCACCCCCACGAGTTATCGTGCCGCAATCGGCTTGATTGATCCCGTGAATGCGAAGAAGTGAACGAGGGGTGCACCGACAGTGTCGTGTAGGACTTCTCTCGAAGGATCAAGTGCCGTACAGGATCGCCTGCGTTATGTGTTAGGTGAAGTGTATCGTGCGAGGCAGTTTTGTAAGATACATGTATCATACACGTATTAGTTATGCCATGTATACATATGTATATGAGATACAAGCTACAGACTTTGTGTAAATATGTAGGTTATATTCATCGAGTTAAAAAAAAATATATATATATATTGCACTTACGAGGAATCATATGGAATCATATTTCCTTTGACGCAACAATTTCCAACATCGCGCGCGCGTGTGCCACGAAAGGTCGATTTTTGAAGACTCGCGTGCGCGAGGCGAACGACCTCGGAATTAATTTTTTATATCATAAACAAAAATGATATAATCCGGCATATTGAAGTATTACAGGTCAACCAGCAGGCACGACGAATTCAGCGAATTCATGAGGCGAATTCCCGCGCAATCGGTTTCCTCTCAAAAGGAAAAACCAGCTATGAAGGACTTGTGAACGATCGCTATTCCAATTCAACGCAATATGTCGATCTGTCAATCAAAGAAAAAAAAAAAACGGTACGAGTTTAGCGTATCCGAATATTACCGGATAATCCGAACACAGGACAGTTCGGACAGATCCTTCCCACGAAATCGATTTTCCTCCAAGACGAGAGGCCGATTTCGGATTCATTATTTTTATGTATCACCAACACCGCTATAATTAGCCGTATCGAAACGTGTCACAGATTGAACCGGCGATCCGTGAGAGAATGAGGGTCAGAGACGGCCTGCGAGCTCGTTCGCGGACACCGGCAGCCCGGATGTCGGCCGTCCATCGATTGCACGTGCTTACGCGTCGACTTTATGTGTACATTCCCGCCGAACGGCCGTGCGCTCGCTTGCTCGCGTATCACGGTTAATAAGCGGCAGGTGCCAGGTGATCCGATTCTTTTTCACGCCCGGCTGCGGGCTGCGGCGACTAGGCCGCTAATTCGCCCTGCCGATGTGCGAGCGATTCACAGGCGAGCGGGCGGGCGGGCGCGCGACGAAATCGCTTCCGTGTCATTAATCGTGAAAAGATTTGGCGTGTTGGCCGCGTCATTACGACGATTTCCTGGATTCCGCGCGCAGCTGGCGCACCCGCACGCACCCCGAATTCCCACGGAGCCGAGCACCGTCGACAATGCATGCTGTGTCGCGCGGCGGCGTTTACCACCCCTGCGCAACCACCCCTGCATCGTTGTCATCGTCGTCATCGTCGTCGTCACCGTTGTCGTCTCGCTCGCTTTTTCTGCTGTCAAAAATGAATTTTGTCCGGTAGGCGGGAGGATCACGCGGCGCGTCACACAGGGCGCGAAAGCCGGTAACATGCACAACGGCAATTACAATCCGGCCAATTTATTTGTCGTGAAAGGGAAGACTGAAGGCCGAACGAGCAGGCGGCAAGACGGGCGGACGGACGCGACGGGAATTATCGCTATCGACGCGCGTTATCGCGCGGGAAAGTAATTATTGCACCACCTGCTTGGGAAGCACGGGCGATCGACGAGCTCGATAGAGCACACCGATAACGCGACTGGGTGAATGATATTTCATTTCGAAGGTGAGTCCTCACTTGCGCCGGCCCACTGGGCGAAATTTCGTCCGCGGTGGACAACTCTGGAAAACGGCTGCTTAATAATTTATGCTTAATAATTTATGCGGGCAGTCGGAGGAAAAGCGCGAAGAACGTCGACGGGAATAGAAATGGAAGAGCGTTGAATAAATAATTTTTCATAATGATTAAAAGCACCGAACTTTCCCGATGTTGTGTGCAGTCGCGTGCGACGCGTGTAAAGTCGATGAAATTGATTTTCTTATACATTATTTCTCTAAACTTTATTAAAATATTCACAGTGTCTACAGTATCCGCAAAGATCGAGACAGAATATCACAATGTTTGCGTATGTGTATATCGCGTTCATCTTACTAAATAATTAAAATTGACGAGAAGTACACGATATCGCCGAAGGATATAAAAATGACTGAGAATAACATCTTCAGTTCAGTACGTGAAAATTAAAATAGACGACAAGTCGACATTAGATCGTCCGAGGATGCTGCAAATAATTAAAGTCAGCGTTTTTAATCATAGATGGAAATAAAGATTGATGAGACGCATATCGAGCCATCTGAAGATATTACTGCCAATTGAGGTCAATATCTTCAATCATAGGTGGAAATTAAAGTCAGCGAAAAGTACACTACATCGTTTGGAGATACTACATACAAGTGATTGAGATTGATTAACGTCCTCAATCGCACGTGAAAGCTCGTGGCCTCTCCTCCGCAGTCCGGAATTCAGGGAGGCGAATTCAGCGTTCGATTTCAGACTCACGGCTCAATGATGGGGTTGGTGTGACGACAGGTCGTCGCGATGAGTACACGTGTACACCTTGGCGCGTTTTTTAGGCGGCGAAGGAGCTCGGCGCGGGTGCACTTGAGATGCAGCGCAGACGTTCTGTATTGCCACATTAGGCGAAGTACGGCGCGCGCTTTCGAAACGCTCCGCTTGCGTTTTAGCTCAACAGCCGCGTCGCATAATGCCGCAAAGTTCCGCTAAATGGAACCACTAGAAGGAGAAAGAAACGCTCGAGGTCCACTTCGCCCCGATTTCGTCCGTCAGACCGTGTCGCTGAATTTCGGTCCTGTAACCCCGCGGCGTCTTTGGGATATTCGCGGGAACACAATGTAGTAGAGTAGCGCGTTGAGATAACGCAGCATCTCTCCTGCAACACCCAGCGACACGCGTGTCTGTTAATTGCTTGTGCGAACATCTTTCGAGAGGAATGTCTGGATATTTATAAATCATATAATTTATCGTGATGAGACACGGAAAAGTTTCGAGACGTAATTGACAGCAATTAACAGGATAAGCGTCGTATGTTAAAGAAGCGAATCACCCCGTCGCGAGAACGTTAATAAGAAAAGAAGTGGTCTCACAGAGGTTTTGTTTCCTAAGAATGCATTAATTCACATCTTAAAATAAACGCGAACTATTGATCATCGATATGGAGGCAGGATTGAAGTTAACAGCTAAATTTCAAAACAAATTTCTTTCTCTTCTCGTTTTTTAATGAATGTACGATTGAATATTTTTCGGGGGGAATCCCCATTCGCGAGAGTCGCGCGTTCCTCGCGATGAAGCGAAAAGGGAAGAGGAGGCGCCGACCTTTAAGGTCACGAATCCATCCGTTTCGACGGATATCGGCGATTCGTTTTTCGCTTTTCGCATCGGCGCAAGTGCCACGGCCTCCACGGCGTACACGAAGGATCACAGTTGAATACCACTGATCGCGATCGCGGTTGCTACGAAGGACAATTAGATTAAAAGCAGCGCCTCTCGCGGCGGCTTGAGATCCATTAGTGCCCATTGTGCCACCCCATTTACACCCCCGCCGTCCATCCCCCATTGCTCCATGCCCTCCTCTCCGGAACAGAGCACCCGTCTCGAAGCCAGGTACTTATTCTCAATAGTAATATGCTCACTTCATACTTCTACCTCTTCGTCCTCCAATCCTACGCCTCCGTCTGCCTCTCCCGATGGAGTCTCTTCTCTCCTCTCTTTCCTCCGCTCCGTCCTCTTTCTTCCCGCCTTGTTCATCATCATCATCATCATCTTCTTCTTCTCCTCCTCCTTCTCCTCCTCCTACTCTTTCCTCGTTCTTCGACAGAGGAGAAGAGAGAAAATCCGCGGACACGGTGACGTCGTTTGAGGAGAACTCTTCCGCTTCCTGTGAAAATCATCACGAGCGGACGATGATACGCACGTATGAAAACTGCCGTTAATGACGCAGCCCGAATGACTTCTATTAGTCCATCTGCTGGAATATGAAGACTGTCGTCGTCGTCGTTATCGTCATCTACCGAGCCATCATCGGTGCTTATCTTTCCTCTTGGGATCGCGGTCCGCGATTTCGTCGCGCGTTCGGCGGATAAAAATGCGCTGTTACTTGACAATCTGGCATTCATTTGTCTAACGACCCCGACACGAGAGGGACGGGCATTCGATCGCGTGTAAAATGGCAAAAATCTCACCGGTGCTTTCACCGGCTGTGCGGAGTCCGGGATCGCTCCATCGTCGGCGCATCAACAATTACTACGGTTGGCTCGTGTAAGCTCGCCCCTCGTATAAAACTGTAGGGAATAAATTGGCCGCGCGCTCGAAATAATATTCCTAAACGTGCACGTGATACAGCTTCGCTAATAGCTGAGGTGCGCCGCAACGGTTTTACGTAGGCGGAGATACGGTATTCATTACTACCGACGCAGTAGTGCGGATTCGCCTGCTCGCGCCCGCTCGCTTCTGCGGAAGCGTTGCGATTTTTTCGGCGCTAATAATTCGTCGAGGGCCATTGCCGGGGATTAATGTTGCTTCCACGAAATAATAATCGCTCTTTTACGCGCGCGAGCGCTATTCGATCCCGCTGTGGCGGTTCTCTCTCATTTGGAGCGATAAAACGGACAAGTCGGGACGGACGCTCTGCTTAGTTTTATCGTACGGCTGTTTCGACAGCGCTCATCCGTTTAAGTCTCCGTTAATTCCCGATGTAATTAATCGATAAGTGTACTCTTCGTATCAGCCGCAGGTCGTACATATCGCTTCGGAGATAACGACTGTGTCGAAGAGGAAGGATCGCGCGGACTGCGTTATCTGCTCACTTAGCCGCCGCTTCCCCCCCTCTCCCCTCCCTTCTCGGATTCAGCAATAGCTCTGTACGTGCGTGGTTTTTTATTCTCATGCGATCGAAGCGATCTCTCCGGAAGATTTTCGGCGTGTGTTTTCACTCGACTTGCGTCGTAGAAGAATCGAGTCCTCCTGAGAAGTTCTTCTCTCAAATCCGGACTCGGGCGTGCAACAATGCGTGCAGAATAACTGGTTGGAAAATTCTCTCATTTGAATAAGAGTAGCTTGAGTATTCGCTCTACGATTCAGCTGCGTTTCTCGCACATATAATTCTTTGTAAATTTTGTCATCCGAGACCGATCGTTTCGGCGATGTAGTTGCCGAAGCACCCTAATTTGCAGAAAAGAGAACGCAAAACGTCCCGCTGCGAGGTGAGAAGGATTTTCGCGCAAAGAGGTGCCTCCTGCCGACGATGCAGACAGATGGAGAGAGCGAGAGCGAGAGCGAGAGAGAG